ATAATTTCCAATGTAGTTCAGTATTTTTTTTCTTGGCATAAAATCATGGAATATTTGAGTTGGAAGTGATGTTGGAGGTCATATACTCTAGCTTCTTCATTGTACATAGGAGGAAATCCCCTTAGCACTAAGAACAGTAAACTTCATGAAGCAAGTGACTGCTGATTCAGTAAAAAATAATCTAATCCCTGCTCCTGCCCCACAAGAAAACTATTTTTCCTGTGCCATTCTGCCATTTGCCAGAAAAGGAAAGGAAAGATAATATGCAGCCTTTTGAGTGAGAGGTAAGATCTTGGGCATTTTTGAGCAGCAAACATTTCCTCAGTATTCATATGAAAGGCAAGAATGGAATCTGGAATAATATGGTTGTTAAAAGTCAGTAATGACATATATTAACATACAGTCCATTGCTGAGGTAGAACATGAAGAAAGTTTATAGCACAAATTCTTCATTTTTATAGAATCATGGACCTCTGAGAATTCCTCATTTTCATAAGCATCAGATGTATTTATTCATTTTTATAAATAAGTAAGAGTGTGTTTTAAGAGGGTAATTTTATTTTTCTTTATATCTCATACATCTATACTATTATTTTAATTAAAGATTTTATTTATTTAATTTTGGAGAGGGAAAGGAGAGAGATAGCGGGAGAGAGAGAGAAACATCAATGTGCGGTTGCTGGGGGTTATGGCCTGCAACCCAGGAATGTACCCTGGCTGGGAATCGAACCCGCAACACTTTGGTTCACAAGCCCGCGCTCAATCCACTGAGCTACGCCAGCCAGAGCTATACTATTATTTTTAAGTTATTTTTCAAATAGCACTAGAAAATAAACAATCATTTTTACTTCTCCCATTTTTTCAGCAACATCTATCAGTTGTATCGCTTGTATAAGGACTGTTCGTGTGAAATAAACTAGGTCTGCATAGACAAAACACACAATGCCCCTGCCTTTAAGAAGTGGGGAATGCAGGGGGTAATGGGCCACTGTGTCCTAAAAGAGTGAGCAATCTTGATGGCTAGAACACAGAAGTTACGAAGAGAGTTAAGAAGACACAGAGAGGGTATGCTGTGGTGGGACATGAGTTGGAAAATATTTGTGATCCTGCAGCCTTGTGTACCAGTCAGAGGAGTTGGGACCTTATCCAGGGAGCCACTGAAAGTCTGCAGCAAGTGAGTGTCTTAGTAACACTGGTGTTTCAGGGAGGAGAGTTGATGCCTTTGTATCTTATCAACAGGAGCTGATGAGAAGAGGAAGAAACATGTCCATCAACCTTTTGAAGGAAACACGGACCTACCAGAAATTACGGAGAGGCCTGGGAATTCCCAGTATCTTTCAGTGGGAAGAATCTCCTGAAGATTCTTTAAGGGAGACAACTGCTAACACCTGAGTGTTAACTTAGTGAAGAAACTGACTTGTAAGGAAACTAGCCACCACTGGGAAATTCCTAATGACATGAGTTCCCTAAGCCTGTGCCTTCTCTCTGGCTTCGTACCGTATGAAACATTTGTGGGTAGCAAACCCAAGATTGAATAATATATACAATGGAATAAAAGCTGGAAACGAAGTATACCTAATATGGAGATGAAAATAAAATTCAAGTAAGTATAAAGTAAAACCTGCAACACAAAGATACCATTTTACCAATAAGAAATTCAACTAAGAAGAATTATTTGGTGCCATTTCAAAAACTTTCAGGGACTAGGGTCCTAACGTTTTAAGAAATAATTCTGTTCTTCTTGCATATTGACATGAATTGATTTTTATATTGTACCTAGTTCTTCCTATACAAAGTTAACTTTACTTTTGTCTCCGGAAACTTTTGTAAATAGGATGAAAGTCTCAAAGGTTTTAATTATCTTGGCTAAATAGGAGTTACCAGTATTTCTAACACTAGTCCTTGAATTCTAATTATCTTCTCAAATTGGATTTTGCATTTTTTTCATTGAATCTCTCTTGAATCCACTGTTTTAGGTGATAATCTGGAAATTGTATCTTTGTGAGACTGTGAGCTGGGATTTAATATCTACTCAAAAAATGTAATATGATTTTAGGAAGCAGTTACATTATTAAGCTGGTTTTGGTAACATATTGTTAAACCTAATGGACATCACTAAAAATAAGCTAAAAACTTAAGTTTCTCACTATCATTTTTTTCTCATATTCACAAAATGGTCATTTTGCTATATGCTTAAGAGGTTTTAAATAATAATGTAAAGTCTCTTGTAAATTCTAGGATTACTGAAAAATAAAACCCACAGATTTCTTATTATTCCTTTCCTCAAATTCAGAGACTGTTCATGTTATTATATGCTCAAAAGTTTTTAAATGATTATAGAGGGTATTTTATTACTAATTTTTAGGACTACTTAAATTGCATCTACCATTAAAATTTGTAAGGAAACTCAGGCTAGCTATTACAATATACCATTTCAGCTAAGTAGGTTGGATATTGAAAAAATTGAAATCTGCAGGTATATGTTCTTACAAACATACAGTAATAATAGTGAATAAAATTACAATGTATACTGTTCTTTAAATAGAGATGTTCAATGGACTATTTTCAAAGTGTCCAAATTTTCCAATTAAATGATATAGTAGAAGCCCATGAAAAAGACAATTATTGTACTGTTCTATAATGAAAAGAAAAAGCAAAGCTTTTTACACAATTTCAAAAATATATTCTATGTGGGAGCAAAGTTAAATGTTAAAAAAATAATTTATGTGGGAGAAAATCCAAATGCCCACAAGGAGAGGGAGCGTGGGCTGGGACACCTCCTTTGAAGCCAGACATCCCTAAAACACGCTGCGGAAACGCTGCTGTGCTTCCTTGCTTGTCGTCAAGGGTCGAGTCTGACATCCACTATCTTAGTGAATTTCTAACAGGTATAACATGGGTGGTCCAGATGCCACTGGATTAGACAAACCTGGGCTAAGGCCTGGTGGAGTCAGACTGAACTGAAGCCTTTTTCTTCCTTCAGGCATGTGATCGTGTAGCTCGGTGAGGCCTGAGATCTGTCTCAGAATTTTATTGATCTCATCCCACAACATTTCTGGGTTCCTGGTGACAGTAGCTAACTCTCTAAGCCTATCTATCTTACATTGTATATATTACACTGAATCTGTTAATGTCTTTCTTACACTGTGGTCTGCTGTCTCCAGGCCTGAATAGTTCTGCCTCTCAGTACTCTTGCCTGGAGTTTCAAGTGGCTCTTTCCTGATAGTGACAGCCTCATTCAAACTGTGACCGCCCAACCTTCTTCCTGTCACTGGATCACCAGGGCTTGCTGGCAAGCAAAAACCCTAAGACGCAGTCATAACCCTTATTCACCCTCATTCCTGACACTGAAGGTGAACGTGAAACAGCGTTTTCTAGTTATCTAAAAGTTCTTATTCACTCAAAGTTGTAGAAGAAATGCTAACTTGCATATTACAGAATTCTGAAAAACTGTCCGAGAGTCATAAATTACACTTCATTTTCACTATATACAAAGAGTTTTTCTTCCCTAAGGGCAAAACCAACACAAAAATGTGTTTTGGAGATGACTTTATTTCTATGCTGACTATATATTAATAATGTAATATATCACATTTATTAATCCTTTTGTAATGAACAGCATTTTTAAGTAGAAGATAAGGTAGACTTGTCACAAAAAATGAAACAATCTGTATTTTAGGCTATTACTTTTGTTCTTGCTTTGAAATCACAAAATAGACATTTTGTCAAATGTCCACAGACTCCCTGGTTTGACAAATGATATTTTACTCCCTGTCCTTCTCTAAGACATTTTTACCATTTCTGTGGTTCTAAAATATGTCATTCATAAAGGAGAACTCTAACAGAAAAATATGTTACACAAAATAAATAACAAAACCTCAAATTCCCAACTAGCTTAAATATGTAAGGCTTCATGACAACCTATCAACTTCCCTATCATTGATGGTTTTGTTTGAAGTTCTTATGAGTATTTTGTGGTGAATTTGAAGATCACATTGTTCATTCAACTACTTCTCCCTTCTACCTTTTCCCTTTCCCCACGAAAAAAAAAGCAATAGCAATTAAGCAAGGTTATAATTCTAATTATCTCTTAGCTATAAAATGAAATGACATTCATTTCACTGTAAAATTTTGATGGAAAAAATTTATAAAGGATAAAATTTCCACATCAAGCAAGCTCTCTCTCTCTTTTGAAAGTGGGTCAGGTAACAAAAAGGTAAATAAAATGCAGAAATTAAACTAATAGCATAAGATTAATCAAAATGAAATCATTACATTGTTAATCCATGCGGGCAGGGATTCACAGCATGCACAGTCACTGGAAAAATGTCCCTAGCCGGGCTCTCTGAGAGACCGCAAACTCCTCGCTAAGTCCTGGCTGAGTAACAGCAGCACCCTGGGCTCAAAAATGCCTCTCTGTCACGTCTCAGAAAATTTTAACCTTCTGGATTTTCTAATAAATATTGTTAATTTAAAGCAAGAATTTTCACTATCAGATAACAGTGATAAATTAAACTAAGAAAAATATACACTGAGTTTGGAAATTTCCATATGAAAATAACAATTTCTAGATTAATAGCGCTCCCTTTTTGATGGTGTTTTTGGTTTGTTTAACTTCTTAACCTCACAGCATCAGATGACCTGACTTTTCTTTTGTTTGTATTGTCCAGAACTAGATAAAGAGGAAACTAATTTCTTAAGGCTTTTCTTTAATCCTTCTGTCTTTCTTTATCTGCTCTGTAACAGCTTTAAAATTAGCCTATCACAATAGCTATTTCGTAATGGGTAAGCCTGTCTCCCTGTGACATTATCTGGAGTGCTTGACTTAAGCAAACTAATTCATCTGACTCTCTGAAGCACAGAACTTGATTTCTTCCCTTCCTATCGATCAGTAATTCATTCTTATTCAACCAACATATAGACTTTCTGCCCAAGCATGCATTCTTTTGTCCACATTAGCTCTTTAGCTCATTACCAACTTTATGGAGAGATGAACTTACCCGGCACACACCATCCCCTGAACCTGCCACTCCCGATAGGCATTCCTCAGCCTTTTCTGTTTTGTAGTACTTAATCTTAGCTGTGGCCTTCATGATTCCATCACAGTAGACATTGACACTGACAGAGCCAGCAGGGAAATCTTATAAAACACAAAAATAGAGTTAGAAATTGGGTATATAATGTATGTCTCACATTCTATCTCTCTTTGAGAACATATGGGAAAGCTTTAGGAATTTGTACCAATTTTATTAACTACTAGCACTTATGTTTTCTTTTTTATCCTTAGAAGTTAGAAGTCACAGAATAAAATGTATAATTCTAGGCTTGTTTAATAAAATTATAAGATAAGAACACATGATAAAATTATTTTTTATTTTTATTGTTGTTCACATACAGTTGTCTCCATTTTCCCCATTATAAAATTATTTTATAAATTATATCTTATTGATTATGTTATTACAGTTGTCCTAACTTTCTCCCTTTGCTCTCTTCACGCAGCACTCCTCAGGCAATCCCCCCACCATTGTTCATGTCCATGAGTCATGCGTATAAGTTCTTATGCTGCCCTCTTTCTTAAACTGTATTTTACATCCCCATGACTATTCTGTAACTACCCATTTGCACTTCTTTTTTAAAATAAAACAATGGTTTTATTTTTTTCTCTCAAAACAGCACATTTTATTATCTCTGAAGTCACATGTGTGATAAACCGTACATGCATTTCTTCATTACAATATGTTTCTCTGTATAGAAGCATATGTTGCCCAATACATGAAGCAAAAGGCTCATTTCTTTTCAAAAATATCATTATAGTGTCATTACATTTACAATTTTATAGATATAACAATCATAGTTTCCAGTAGCTTTGAAGAAAACAGTTATTTTCTACACTCTTGAAGAAGAGTGTTTATATTGGTTTATATTATTTTAAAAGATATTTCCTGGTCTCAACATAAAACATGGTAATATATGAAATATGTTTGAGTTCAGGCTATGTATTTAAGGCTAGCTAATGGTATAGAGGCAGAATTCAGTAGTAGTTTAAATTCAGGTTAGTTCTAATGCCAGAAAGTTAGTAGACGAATGTAGAGTCAGTTTAAGTGTTCAGTTTAAGCTTTAGCTTATGCCCAAAAGTATCTACTACCATTCACTTTGTTTAGATTTATTCCTTTTTATAACATGGAAATTGTAGTTATACTTGTGTGTATGGTTCAGTTTGAATAGAAATTAAGAGCTGGATAAACATTGTGGTCAGAATCAGAAGCAGGCTTAGATAATGATCACGTTCTGCTCTAATGATCATACAAAATTCTTTTTTTTTCATTTTTAAAAAGTTTTAATTGTTGTCCAACAGAATTCTGTATTATATTTGTACTCTTTACTCCCCTGGCCTCTTCACCCAAGGCACTAAGTCCTTTCTCCCTAACAACTAACTTCTATTTAAAAAAATAATCTATGATTATCTTTGCATAATACTTTATAATTTAGAACAGTAAAGTTGGTCATAAAAAGTTAGGTATTTGTTACTATTCTCATGAAGAAAATTACCTAAATTATAGGCAAGTTTCTCAAAATTGTGTTTGAACAGAGAAAGAGTAGAGTTGATTGAAATTACAGAAATTTTATTCAATTGATTATAATGAAAAGCCCTTTGGGAAGGCAAAATTTAGTGCCCTGATATTTGAGTACTAGTTACAGCTACACCATACATTTTAATATTATCCAAAGCTTTTCATGAACAAACTGTTTAAAGTGACTAATATATTCCATTGTAAATTCCAATCTAACATACCAGCAATTCAAGTTATTTAAGAATTTGGGGCTTCCCAAAAAAGAATAACAATAAACAGTCATTTCAATAGAAAAGTCATACTTTATTGTAACAAAGGTAAACATAAGTTATCTCTTTTAATTCATTTTCAGAACACACTTTTAAAACTTTCACTCTTTGTCCTGGAGACATTTTCCAAATTCTCCTGGAAAACTTTCTGGAGTTTGGAATTAGACATTAAGCACAAGACTAACTAAAAAGCTGGTTTTAACCCTAACTCCCAAATGAAGCTTTGAATATTTAAAAGTTTTTAATGTTTAAGCATTAATTTTACTTTATCTGCTGAATGGGTTAAAGGACTTTATAATATATCACTCAAAGTAATCTAAAGCCAACAAAAGCAATTTTAAGCCTTACTAGATGAAGCTGAATGAAATTTCTTACTACAATATTGCTTGACTAGACACTTGTATTTTAAAGGAAATAAAACAGAAAACTTCCCTCTTCCCAAACTAAGTATCTGTCCAATAGAGAATGGAAGAGAAATCACAACAAAAACTGAAAGCTGTAAAGTACTTCTCATTGGATACAGCTGCGCACACATGGTAATGAGGGCTTTGGAGTTTTGGGACTCGAATGAAATAATTTCAGTAAATTTCATAAGAATGATTTTAAATGAAGATATGATTGTTGTTTATCAGAAAAAAGATTAGGAGTCTTACAATGGGATTTTTACTTTTTGAAAGAAAGCCAGGTGATAAATCATAAAAGAGATATGGTGAGATCTTCCTGCTGGTTCTTTGATATATATTATCATATATACATATATCACTCTCTTGATTTGCCATTCTCTCCAACTTTGGGAATGGTGGTTTGCCCCACAGCCATAGTTCTTAATGAACTCAAGAAAAGACATTTATTTTCAGTTTGTTCAACTTTCTCAAGTTGTAAGAGTGGGAGTGACAACGTCCAAGTTCTACATGACAGGGCTAATACCATTAGTTTAACTATTGCTTTGAAAACCTTTGTTTTAATTATGGATTTATGCATATGTACTGGGTCATGATATAAAATAAAGTTCTTGCTAGGGCTCGGAATTTTTAAAAGATTTTATTTATTTATTTTTAGAAAGAGAGGAAAGGAAAGAGAAAGAGAAGGAAAGAAACACTGATGCATGAGAGAAACATTGATTGGCTGACTCTAACACGCCCCCAACTGGGGACCTGGCCTGCAACACATGCATGTGCCCTAACTGGGAATTGAACCAGCAACCTTTTGGCCCACAGGTTGGTGCCCAATCCACTTAGCCACACCAGTTAGGGCAAAGCTCAAAAATTTTAAGTAACAGTGCCATGAGGCAGAGAAAATAAAACTCTGGGGTCATGTCTGTAGAAGCATGTCCCATCTATATTCTCACACACACTCTTGGTATCAGTCTATATATTGCTACACACCAAAGAGCAGACAAAATTTCATGAGAAAATCTCTCATTAATTTACAGAACAGAATAGTTGACAGAAAGACTTTGAGGGGTTTAATTAGCATAACTAGTAAATAGTGATTTTTTTACTACAAACTTGCTGTTCAACTACGTAGACATATTATGAATTAGTATATCTTGAAAAACATAGATTATTCATTTTCTGCTTTTCTGAAAAACATTTGAACTTTGATATGTTTTACTCTTTGCACTGCTTTTAGCTACTAGGTAAACTGAACATAAAACCTTTTTTTATTGTTGCTCAGTTATAGTTGTCCCCACTCCCCTCCCACCTTACTCTCCCACACTCTACCCACCCACACCTCCCACATTCAATCTCCCTCTCCCACCCCGGTTGTCTTTGCCCATGGGTCCTTTATGCCTGTTCTTTGATGACCCTTCCTTTTCTTTGCCCTGTTATTCCCTGCCCCCATCCCCTCTGGTTACTGTCAGTTTGCTCTTTATTTCCATGACTCTGGTTATTGTGAGTAATTTTATTTAACATTTTGATCTGCTATTTGGGAAGTATTATCTAAGTACTTCTTAATTTACAATATTGATTTTTTTCTGTATAGTGATTTTAGTCTAACTAGATTTAATTTAAACTCCAAAATTAATTAATTAGAAATTAGTCTTCATTAAATCATTTAAACTGTGGCATAAGGAAGAAGGGATCTTTGGAAAAGGAAGAAAAGAGACAAGGAGAGTTCTTCTTCATCTCACTCCTGCATATCCTTGTCCATGAGAAGAAGCAGTGTCTGAATGTTTACAAATGCTTGGTGTAAAGTCTTTCCTTTCTGTAATCGAACTCTCATCTCGGCTGTGCAAGGAAATCCATAGAGGGGACACATGCTCTGCATAGCAGAATAGGGAAGGTTTGCAGATACCATGTAAATGGGCTTACTTCACAACAGGTACATAAAAAATCTCAGGATGGATTTGAAATACTCTTTACTTTGAAATATTTTTACATTTCCAAAATTCATAGTAAGATTGCATATCTTTTATTTTAAAATATTTTATGAAGTTTACATTTATAAAGTTTTATAAGATTTATTCTCTGATTGAAAAAACAAAAAACAAATAATACTACTTTTTATCAAAACATTCAGAAATTAATATAGTAGATTTTGAATTTAGTACAATTTTTGTGGCAAGCACGGATATTCCATCTGATACTATTTACCATGCTGCAAGCAGAGTTGCATAATGAAATGTTTAGCTTCATAAATAAAATTAGGAAAAGAAGGAAAGAATGTATATAGAAATGTTATCATGATGATAAAACATTGAAAAAGATTTATGCTTTCCAAAACAACCAAAAATATACTCAAGAGCATGACCAAACAGAGAGAGGAAGGAAGAGAGGCAGGAAGGAGAGAGAAAGAGAGGGAGGGGGAGGGGCAGAGTGAGAGAGTGAGAGAGAGAGGGAAGTAAAAAAATTTCAAAGTTCATTAATGAAAATGCAAATATTTACTAATCCTGTTACAATAAAGCTAATAATTTTAGTTCCACAATTAGTAGGTAGCATATATTCAAGTGCTCTCTACTGACACACATAAAAATGTGTGATGTAACTGGACGCTGTTTCACCACATGATACACAAGCTAACTTCTCAGAATTTATGCATTTGTACTTTTGCAAAATCAGATTAATAGTAACAACCTTGGGTGTGTGAAAGTTGACACAGGAAACACCTGCAGGACAATATTAGTTTCTGTAGGGAAATGAAACCATTTATCATAAATTTACTGAAAGAAATTCAGGGTGATGTTTTATATTTATTAAAGCATAAAAAGCTTTCTTACCTAAAGCTTTCATACACCAGACTGTTTTATTCCAAAGGGCTGGCCGTATTCTAATGCATTTATTATGTGATATAAATTCAACCTCCACAGCATCACTAATTACTTCGTCTCTCAAAATAATAAATATTTCACCAGGATTCTATAAAATGAAAAATAAAACCCAATTAAGCATTTGAAAAAGTTTACATTAACCAAATAACCCATTGCAATTATTAATGATAGAGGTAGCATATAATCATTTTGTCTTCTATCACGTCCATATTTTCAACCATATTTAGAAAGGAAATATGTAAATGTGAATCTCATTACATTTTGAGTCTATGTACTTGGTGTTTATTAACTACTCAATTTTTTTTTCCAGTACCTTATTTTACAACTGAAAAGTTGGTGAGAACATAAATGTTCCCTTTCCCCTTGTCCCCTTCCCATGTGTGAGGCTCCCCATCTCCTCACAGCCTCCAGGGAGCTGCCATTCAACCATTAAACAAACTGTTCTTCCAAAATCTTTTCCTCCACCTTTCTAGAACTCGGTGTATTTATCTGTAAATGAAAGGACTGACATGTAAATATGATGATTTTTTTTTAAATTGAAGGATAAAACTTTTTAAAAGTCCAATAGTTTTAAATCTTACCTAAAAGAGATTCTCTGGGTAGGTTATTTATTATTGATATCTGAAAAAGGTCATTGAGTTGACTAAAATTTCTAAATCTAACAGTTTAAAGATTTTTACTAAGGTGAAAAAGCTAAATCTATGTAAGGGTTTTTGAAAACTTTTTGGAAAATTTTTTTAAGTTAGGGACAAAAGTGCTGAAATTAATACAGAGAAAGAAAGGAAGAAGTATATATTTATTAAGCATCTATTTTATGCTAAAACTTATTCTAAGCAAATTTTGTATAAAGTTTTTTAAATTCTAACCAAAACATATGAGAGTATACATGCATACACACACATGCAAATACATGCACAAACCAAAACCAAAATGGAAGACTATTATTTTTACCTTTTATGAACAGGATAACTAATACACAGAAATACATTTGAAGATAAATTAGAACTACCTAAATTCAAAATCTGTACTTTTCTTTATATCATATTGCTTAAGCCTTCAGAATAACTAAAATGAAATATTTTTATGATGATTTCAGATAAACTCTTTGAAGGCCCTCTTCAAAGTAAACTAAATTTAAGTACCTCAAAAAATAAACAGGAACCTAATTTTATGCTCTTATAAAATCATGATTACCCAAAAGCCATTAATTTCAAAGTTCTCCTATTTAAATATCTCCCAAAGCAAAAATCACCCACCAATAAAGCTAACATCTTTAATGCTCTGTACCAAAGCACTTCTACAAATTCACTGATGTTACAAAATCATTTCAGCTGACACACAGTCATTTTGGGAGTTTCCCACCAGGGTCCAGTGCTTCCAAATAGTATTTGTTCATAGGGTGTTTTGATCTAGATTTCTCCTCACCAATTCGATTGTACATCAGGAAAAGATCCTATGCAGCAGAAGAAAGAAGGAGCTTCTATCCTTCACAAAAACATGGATGAAACTGGAGAGCATTATGCTAAATGAAATAAGCCAGATGTTGATAAACAAATACCATGTATTTTCACTTATAAGTGGAACCTAATGAACACAACAAACAAGTGATCAAAATAAAACCAGAGATATGAAAATAAGGAACAGACTGACAGTGACCAGAGGGGTGGGGGAGGGGAGTAATGAGGGGAAGAAGAGGAAGGGTCAAGTCAAGGAACAAGTATAAGTACTCATGGGCAAGGACAATGGGGGGGTGGTGTGTGGTGAGGATTGAATGTGAGAGGGGCGGCCAGGGCAGGGGAGAGTAATAGGGGGAAAATGAAAATAATAAAATAAAATAAAATAAAATTCCCATAAAAAAAGATCCCATCTCAAGGGAACTACCACTATTCCTTCTCTTGCCCTACACATCCAACATGTCAGAAACACTTCCCTGCTTTCTTCCCTGCACCTTTTCAATACACTACCCCATCTGAGCCCTGAGGGGCAGGACCGTGAGCCCCTCCTGTTTCTCACATCTGCAGTCTCCTCCACACAGGACCTCAGGTCTAGCACAGTTCTTCAGTCTCTTTGTTACTCATGTCTGTCCCCTTACTTCATATCTTTAATGACCATATTTCACTTCAGCTCAGATCTCCACTTCCTGCTTCAAAGTTCTTCAGAGTTCTCTTCTACAGAAACAGCACTTCTTATTTAACTTTGACCTCTCTCCTTCAGAACCTGGTAAGCCTAAGCATCCTCTCCAATGTTTTATTCACCCATGCAACACATTCTTACTCACGAGCATTCACAATGACTGCTTCTTATGCATCACATTCTCTCCCTAAGAAAGGGCATGACTCCACATTTCAACCATTTCTAGAGAAAAGTTCTAAACAAAAGACAAGCATACTGACCACCCCAAAAGAGGCACTTAAGTGTTCATTTGTACACAGGGCCAGCTTCATGGCCGTGTGACCTGCACAATTGCTCCGGGACCTGTGCTAGCAGGGCCCTGCACTTAGTTTAATGTTTGTTGACACTGCCTTGAAATACTTAATAATTTGAACAAGGGCTCCTGCGTTTTCATTTTGCATTGGTCCCTGCTGATTAGGTAAACAGTCCTGTTTGTATACAATGTTGGCTTGCCATTTCATTCCTTATCTCCCTCCCTTTCTCCATACTTATCCTCTCCAACAGTGTTCAACTCAAGTTTTCCACCTCCACAGATCCCTCCTGCAACTTCAGCCCACAAGGAGTTGCACAACTTCCAAAGGAATCACAAAGAATTTACACCCACACTACTTCTTTGACCCTTTCTTTCTTTTTTTAGTTCTTTTTTAAATTTTAACTGTTATTCAAGTACAGTTTTCTGCCTTTCACTCCCATCCCAGCCTACCTCCCCAGTCCTCCCCACCTCCCTCCCTTTTCCAACCCCCCTAGTTTTTTTCCATGTGTCCTTTATACTTGTTCCTATAAGCCCTTCTCCTTTGCCCCTGAAATTTCTTTGACCCTTTCTAAGTCATGCCCTCTGCTCTGTTACTGTTTCATGTCTATGGCTTGCTTCCCAGGTAGGTTTTAAGCATCTTTAAGGTATTTTTATTTTTTCATTTCATTGGTGTATCTTGCAAGAACTTTGCACAGAAGAGACAATCTATATATTTTCAAATTAAGATGAAAATAAGATGTAAAAAACATGACATTTTACAACTGAGCCTGCTCCACTCTACTCCTTATCTCCCTCAGGACTCCCAGCTTCATCTGGTGCCTGCATCTGCATACAGGAAGGAGCCCGGTCCAGGGGGGAAGGACTGCACTTGCCCAGCTTTGCCCCTAATTATTGTGTGCATCTTAATTAAAGATGGAATTATATGAATACATTTAATTCCATGGAGAAAATGCTAGGATAATCACATACTCACAAATATAGTTTTATCGGTTATGAAGCCGTTGTTTTGCTCTCAATCTTTTCTCTGTTTATTCCATACTTAGTTCTGAGCAGTCAATGAGAGAAAGGATTATTACAATTATCACTTTCAAACTCTAATGTTTTGCTGCATGAGTGAAAAACTTTGATGCCTAAACAAAAGGGCTGGAACTTGGTCTTTAATATGAGTTATAGATAGTGAAGTTTCTGGTTCTGTCAGGGTGGATGTCTTTTTTTAAAAATAATATTTTATTGTATTTTTTCCATTACTATTTAGTTCCCTATACTCCCCTCCCCTGCAATCACCACCCTGTTGTCTATGTCTATGAGTCCTTTTTCCTTTTTTGCTCAATCCCTCCACCCCCTAAACTCCCCACCCCAAGCTGTCATCCTGTTCTCCATCCATGAGTCTGTCTGTATTTTGTTTGTTAGTTCAGTTTGTTCATTAGATTCCAAATATGAGTGAAATCGTATGGTATTTGTCTTTCTCTGACTGGCTTATTTCGCTTAGCATAATGCTCTCCAGGTCCATCCATACTGTCACAAAGGGTAAAACTTCTTTTTTACAGCCAAGCAGTATTCCATCGTGTAAATATCCCATAGTTGTTTTATCCACTCATCTACTGATGGACACTTGGGCTGCTTCCATCTCTTGGCAATTGTAAATACCACCACAATGCACACAGGGGTGCTATCTTCTTTTGAATTAGTGTTTTTGTTCCTTCAGATATATTCCCAGATGAGAATATATGAGACTGCTTGATCAAAAGGCAGATCAATTTTTAAGTTTTCTGAGGAAATTCCATACTGTTTTCCACAGTGGCTGCACCAGTCTGCATTCCCAACAACAGTGCAAAAGGATTTCCCATTCTCTACATCCTCCCCAGCACTTGTTTGTTGATTAATTGATGATGGCCATTCTGACAGGTGTGAGATGATGATATCTCACTGTGATTTTAATTTGCATTTCTCTGATAATTAGTGACATTGAGCATCTTTTCATATGTCTATTGGCCATCTGTGTGTCCTCTTGGGAAAAGTGTCTATTCAGGTCCTTTGCTCATTTTTAATTGTGTTTTTTTTTAGTGTTGAGTTTCTTAAGTTCTTTATAAATTTTGAATATTAACCCCTTATCAGATGTATCAGTGAATATGCTCACCCATTCTGTGGGTTGTTTTTTAATTTTGTTGATGATTTCCTTTGCTATGCAAAAATTTTTTAGTTTGGTACAGTCCCATTTGTTTATTTTTTCTTTTTTCCCTTGGATAGGGAGATATATCCAATAAATTATTGCTATGAGCAGTGTCCAAGATTTTGCTCTTTTCTTCTATAATGTTTATGCTTTGGGGTCTACCATTTAAGTCTTTGATCCACTTTGAATTTATTCTTTTTAAAAATTTTATTTTAATCATTGTTCAAGTACAGTTTTCTCCCTTTTACTCCCAATCCAGCCCACCCTCCCAACCCTCCCCACTTCCCTCCCATTACCACCCTCCCCCTAGATTTTGTCCATGTGTCCTTTAAATTTGTTCCTGTGAACCCTTCCCATTGTCCCCTGAAATTCCCTCTTCTTTTCCCTGTGGTCACTGTCAGCTTGTCCTCTATTTCAGTGTCTTTGGTTATATTTTGCCTGTTTCTTTGTTTCGTTGTTTAGGTTCCTGTTAAAGGTGAGATCATATGGTATT